TTCAAATAAATACACAAGAAAATCAGTTTTACAAAGTTCATCATACTTTAATATGCAGTTTATACAGAGTATTTTAAATGTATTCATTTATTTCCTATCTCATAATAACGACTCACAGTAACTTAATATATAAAGTGCACTTTTCATGTAGGATATCCAGCTTAAAGAGCTAAAAAATGCTACACATTTAATCAGACAATTCAAAGGCAGTGTATGCTAAAATATATTAATAAAATAACAAACCTGTGTGTGTTGAATACATTAAATAAATTGATGTATAAGAGTCAGAAATACAAGAAAGTGTCTGTGAAGGAGGCAGGGATCTGTATTTTTCTTTATGCATCTCGTTGTGTGCAATTGAATTGAACTAATTGTCATGTATTGGTTTTAAAGTACCTGCACATGCAGCGTAATAGTGACCCCCTGTGGATGACTGCAGGTAACACTAAGTATCACTGTTTACCCAGATGTGTGTTTGCGTTGCTTCACAATCACAAAGGTGTTAAGAAGTCTGTTTATAGCTTGTTCTGCTCATCTTTAGTGGAAGAAAACACACTTTTATAGCACCCTTTATTAAGGCGTTTCCTTCACAGTAAACAGTGTTGTGTGCGTGTGACTGTGACACTTCAATGTGTGTGTGTGATGGCCCCAGAGCCTGTGGCCTGTGAGTGTGCAGGTGTGTTGCAGGTCCTGTGATGGGGGTGGAGCTGAGGAGGCCAATCTGCATGACTGGGGAAACCTGGGTTGCGGTCGAATAGTCCATTTAGCTTAGGAACCTTCCTTACGGAGTGAAATGACCCGGAAGTCCCTCAGTGGCAGCCATGATAAGTGCCGTTCAAATTCTCTAAATGAAAGGAAAGGAGGTTTCAAACTTCCTTTATAACCTCCTTTAGCTTAGGAACCACTGGACCTCCCTAACGGACCGTCCACACAGCAGCGTTAAAAAATCTTGAAACGCTTCTGCCCATTCACTTTGAATGGGGTGACGTCACTTTCCCTCACTTTTCGCCGAACTGCATTGTGGGCAGGCGAGCGGAGATTTTCAGGATTTTCAGGATTCAAAGTTGAACAATGTTCAACTTTTGAGGCTGAGGTGGAAGCGTCAGCCAATCAAATCCCGTGTACGCAAATCTGACCGTTCAAGCTCTAGCCAATCAAACGGCGTGTAAGCTGGGAGTGACATACCGCAATTTCCTCATATTCCAAAAAATGGAGGAGAAATTAGCGGTAGGGAATCACCCGGTGCTTTATGACCAGACCTATTTACCTACCGGGATACAAACCGGAGGAGCCAGGCATGGAGGGAGGTGGCAGAGACAGTGGTATGTTTTCGCCTGTTTGGGGAGTTTATATCCAGTTTACTTCAAACTTTTTTGCTTCGTATGTCGGGGGCGGGAGCATACTTGCCAACCTTGAGACCTCAGAAATCGGGAGCATTTCAAAACCACTGCGGGGGGGGGGGGTGCTAGTGGATCGCCGGAGCTGTTTTCGATTAACATTAACATGCTTATTGTAGTTGTAAGTGCAATACCTGTAGCACCATGGAGCATATGTGTGGGCTGGACCTGTATCCAGGAAAGGAGTGAGCAGAGGGTGGAGTTGTCGATTCTTGTTCTGTTTACTGTGACTATCTTCTTCACCCTCTCAGACTTTCAGTTGCGTGCGCTACTAAAGAGACGCGCTACCATGGAAACCAAACAATGGTGTAGCTGTATTAAAGTCCGAGTGGAAACAGTCCAGGGTAAATCTGATTTTGTCAGAAATCGGGAGAAATGCGGGAGAAATATGACCCCGGGAGGAAACCGGGGGAGGGTTATGAAATAGGGAGTCTCCCGCGAAAATCGGGAGGGTTGGCAAGTATGGGCGGGAGATTCATGTGATTGGTTGTTGGTGCCTTGCTCGCAAAAAATCCCCAAGCTTCAGATACGCCCACCTCCAAGATTTTTTTAACGCTGCTGTGTGGACGGTCCGTAACCGAAAGGAGAGGAGAAAATGCTGCCCCACAATGCCTTGCGGCCGCAGCATTTGCCGTCACACAACAGTCGGCCGTTCACGGAAACAACCGATTATGAACAGAAATGATATCATGAAAGATTTGCATACACGGGATTTGATTGACGCTTCCACCTCAGCTTCAAAAGTTGAACATTGTTCAACTTTGAATCCTGAAAATCCTGAAAATCTCCGCTCTGCTGCCCACAATGCAGTTCGGCGAAAAGTGAGGCAAAGTGACGTCACCCCATCGTTCCAAGATTTTTTTAACGCTGCTGTGTGGACGCTCCGTAACGATTCAAAACGTATGTGGTAAGTTGCCAAAGTGCTTTGTTTTGAACGTTCATCAGTATTATAATCAAAAAGAGAAATATGAACGTTAGTTTTTACTGAAATTATCAAATAAAGTCAACATTTCACAGTCTTTACTAAGCTGTGTGGGGTTTGTTCAACTTTTAAAAGATGTTTGAATGGTGATATACACAGTGATAGATGTTAAGGACTAATGTTTATAATAAATACATTTGTATTGATTTTAAGATCTTTTCATACAATCATACGTATTGGGATCATTTGTATTAATGTGGACCGGAGGGAGAGGGTGACGAGCATAAGTTTCACTTTCCTTTTTTATTTCAATTCCAACTTTGGTCATGAAGAATATGTGTCTCTGTTGTCCACGTTCATAAAGCATAAAACAACAGCATCAGAGCACGGTGCAGAGTCTCTAGATGAGTTTACAGTAGTCCCTCGTTCTTATTAAACATCCCTGTTGTAGTCCGCTGTATAGAAAACTGTAGTTTCCATAGTTTCCCCACAGCAGCAGACGCACATTTATGACCTCCGCTGGCGCATCATAAACACGTCGGATAGTGAAAGTGCAGTCGGATTCTCTAAAGTACCGCAGTCTCTTCTCCTAAATCCTTTTGAATTCTCCTAAATCCTTTTGAATTCTCCTAAATCCTTTTGAATTCTCCTATCCACTATCCCTTAACCCCATGACGTTTCACTCAGAGGTCAAGGAATAGACGATAGGGTTAGAATTTAGGAGCTGATTTTTGGACTATTCGACCGCAACCCAGGCCGGAGCCGAGGTGTCACATGGCCTTCGTGACTCTCTCCAAGCCCGCTGCAGGAAGACTCTCGCCGGGATCCTTTCCCCTCGCCCATCCTCTCATATTCTCATACGTCTCTCTCTCTTTTCCTGTTGTGGCCTACAGGCCGGTCATAACAACTTATGACACTTCAATGTGTGTGTGACTGTGACACTTCAATGTGTGTGTGACTGTGACACTTCAATGTGTGTGTGTTTGCTTGTGGACAGCACATGAATAGATGTTAATAATTATCAGATTTAGATTTAAAACAAGTTAAATAACTGAGTTTAGGAAGTACCAACACTCAGTGGCACTATCATATGCTAAAAACAGAATAATCACAAAGTCATATCCCAACTTAAAATCAATGTGAGTGAAAATAAAGGCTTCCTTCTCTTGGCAGTGAGAGATACGATACAGAGGAATGATTAGATTTTTCATTGTGTCGTGAAAAACCATGATCTGAGTAATGGGTCCAGAGTTTGACATCTTCTTCATCCCTGCAGTATTTCAACCTTGAGAAAAGCCCAAAAATATAAATATTTTAAGATGTTAAGAAGACATTCACATGCTTTAAGTGTGAATAAGCGAGAGACGAGTAGGTCATATTTTATTTGCTATACCTGGTTACACAGTGCCCAACTTAATACACCTGAATGAGGGCAATGAGGGTTCTTTGAGGTCCGAATCTGAAAGCTAAATAGGAAGGAAGTGGCACGAGGATGTGAAACTTGATTATTAGGCATCTCAAATTCTCAGAAGTCACTCCTGGTCTGAGTAACAAACGGCTCTAGTGAATTTCTGCTTTCTTTCGTACGAACAAGTAAATCAAGTTTAAAATGGTACATCTTTTACCTGTGTTGTACTGCTGAAGTGTGTATTCATCCGCAGCTGAAAGTAGTCCCTAACAAATGTACTTATTTCTCCTGATACTATAATATCTTATGAACGAATAACAGTTCACCTTTTTAGAATATTTTCGTCTAAAATGTCTCTTTTTACTTTCTTTTTCCCAAGAGTTTCCTAACTTAATTTACTCGATCCAAAAGCTACCTTTGACTTTTCTAAAGAATGACTGAAACCAGCCCTGTGAAATACAGAGATGGTGTTTGTGATCTGAAACCACAACTCAACAACCTGTTTCCCTTGCAGCGACACAAAGGAGAGAAACGAGGCCACGCCAGCTCTACCAAATATCTACCTGACGTACCTTAAAGTGAACACAAACATTTCTATTAATAAACTAATTGCACAAACATATATGTACAGATATGTGTTGCTGCTAGCAGTTTGTACCGAGATGCCTTCACTTTATCAGCTGAGTAACAAAGCAACCTGAAGTAACCCATTCTCGCTCATAATCTTCATTTATTTCCTGTTATTGTGGACTTTGTCCCACTTTGGGTTTGTTAGCAATGTTGATACGTGTCCCTGACCTTTCAAAAATCTCTTTGACACAACACCTGTGCATCTGTATTTAAAAGCAATTAAAAAAACTGAGCATTTTTCCTCTAGAAGTGACATTTTTCTGCTTTACAGCCCTATAAAATATACCTCATTTTCGACACTTCTAACTCTACAAAGTCTGTATGAAATGAATAGAATTATGTAAATATCTTTTAATGAGTGAGGATAGTTGTGATTTAAAAAAGGCAGTTTACAGGATAATAATGCCAGTTTTTAAGAGTGACAAAGAGTTTTTAAACAGGTCAGCTAAAATGTATATTTAGTTTAGGTTTTCATTTTCAATTTAATGTATATTGTAATATCTACAATTACACGTTTAATGTCTCCGTTTGCTCTGAATATGATGCAACGTTTCTTCTTTGACAATGAGATGTCAAGATGGGGGCCTCTTGGATCACTTCCTTTAGAAACCATGAACACACACACACACACACTCATAAAGGAGGGTATCTCACTGCTGTGACAGGAAATAACCTCGATAATGGAAAGCGGCTGTTTCTCTGTCAGATGATGATGAAGATGGCGATGAAGATGTCTGCTGCCTCCGTCTCTCTGCTCCTGCTCTGCTGCTACGCCTCTGCCTCCACAGGTAACTAATTAACAATTACCTCCTTACAAAGTATCATTTCTAATAGGTTTCAAATTAAAACATGGGTCTTTTTGTAGGATTCTCTTTAGCAACAGGCTTCAAATTGCACTTCCTGTCCCAGCTCTGGATCTTAAAGGATATATACAAAATATTAAAAGCAGAAATTAACTTTAAAGAATCTTAGTTTAGCTGTCTCGTTACCTTCTTATTTCTGCTATAGTTTGATCATGCTGCATTATTCTATACTCCCTAATGTATTTAACTCATTGCATATTTATAAAAAGCTATTTGGTACAGTGTATGCTCGCTCAACTAAACACATTATTTCAGACAGTTTTAAGAATCTGTTTTCCTCAAATAATCATTTGCATTTGAATATTTGACTGACAAAAGAAACCTTAACAAATTAAATAAACTAGATCCAAACTAAAGGGTACATTTTGTACTTTTCTAAGTCAGTACGTATGAAGATTTCTTTGGCACAAATTGTAACTCCTAATGCGTTTATTCAGCTGTAGCTAAAGGCACTGACATTGAATGACGTGAAATCAATTCAATTAAATACTAAGGATTATTTAATAATTGGTTAATTTACTGATTCTTCCCTTAAATAATGAATTTCTTAAAAAAAAGAAGAATGAAAATAGTGAAAAACGTCCATCCTAATTTGTTTAAATGAGTTGTTTTTATCATTAAAAACTCACCTGTTATCTACTTTATTATCTGCCCCTTTTGTTTGTTTGTTCACCATGTAAAGCGGCCTTGGGTCCCTTGAAAGGCGCTATACAAATGTATTATTAGTATTATTTGTCAGTCTTATACCGGCTTTCAGCAACTCAGTTCATTTAAACATTTGAATAGTAGGAAATGTCCATATTTGAGAGGCTAAAAACTGCATTTTCTTACATTTTTGCTCAGCAGGTAATGGATTAAATGTTCTGTTGATAGATGAATCAATGCAGATCATATAGTACACACATCCTTTACTCAAGTAGAAGTACAGATACTCGTGTTTAAAAATACTCTTGTAAAAGTAGAAGTACTGACTAAACTTCTTTACTCAAGTAAAAGTAAAGAGGGCTTTAAAATGTACTTCAGTAAAAAGTCCCCATAACTAGCAGCTGTTTTAAAGAGTACCTGACCTCCCTTTATATTAATAGAACAATAATGTCATTGTTATCTAATGAATGTTTCCATGCTGAACAACGGCAACATGACAACGTTTTCATTGGTCCCTCTTCTTTAGAGAAGACCAGGAAGTGATGGATACACGGATCGTGTTCAAATCAATAGGCACGCAATGACTCTAAATAATAATGATCACGCCACCAAACACACATTCAAACTAAAGGAACCAGCCTGTTTGGAAAATGAGAGAAGTAGAAAGTACAGGTATTTGAGTTCAACATGTAAGAAGTAGAAAGTACAGGTATTTGGGTTCAACATGTAAGAAGTAGAAAGTACAGGTATTTGGGTTCAACATGTAAGAAGTAGAAAGTACAGGTATTTGTGTTCAACATGTAAGAAGTAGAAAGTACAGGTATTTGTGTTCAACATGTAAGAAGTAGAAAGTACAGGTATTTGGGTTCAACATGTAAGAAGTAGAAAGTACAGGTATTTGTGTTCAACATGTAAGAAGTAGAAAGTACAGGTATTTGTGTTCAATATGTAAGAAGTAGAAAGTACAGGTATTTGGGTTCAACATGTAAGAAGTAGAAAGTACAGGTATTTGGGTTCAACATGTAAGAAGTAGAAAGTACAGGTATTTGTGTTCAACATGTAAGAAGTAGAAAGTACAGGTATTTGTGTTCAATATGTAAGAAGCAGAAAGTACAGGTATTTGTGTTCAAAATGTAAGAAGTAGAAAGTACAGGTATTTGGGTTCAAAATGTAAGAAGTAGAAAGTACAGGTATTTGGGTTCAAAATGTAAGAAGTAGAAAGTACAGGTATTTGTGTTCAACATGTAAGAAGTAGAAAGTACAGGTATTTGTGTTCAACATGTAAGAAGTAGAAAGTACAGGTATTTGGGTTCAAAATGTAAGAAGTAGAAGGTACAGGTATTTGGGTTCAAAATGTAAGAAGTAGAAAGTACAGGTATTTGGGTTCAAAATGTAAGAAGTCAAAGTCAAAAGTCGTCGTGGAGTAAAGTACTGATACCAGAAAAATGTACTTAAGTACAGTAATGAAGTAGGCCTATTTGTACTCCACTGCTTCCCACCTCTGCTTTCCTGTGGCTCTGCATTCATACGTGTGGATGTGCACTGACTTCACCTGTTAGATCATAATTATTTCTATCTGTAGCTGTGGTGTGTTTTGATTGCGAGTTGAAACCTCTGACAGAAGTATATCAGGTAGACAAAAGAAGTGGCGTCGCAGCAGATGTGGTCGCGACGGCCTGAACGAGGTTACAGAGGAAACAGGAAGCAGAGCGAGGTGCGCTTCAGTGCGGCAGAGAAATAAAATACGACTTATCAGCTGAGTGTATAGGGGAAGAATACAGGAATATAATGGGGGTAAAATCACATCAGTGTTATTATAAAACGTCTAGGGTTTTTCCATTCAAACACATTGAAATTAGAGGGCGTAAAATGCAATAGATTCTCAGCTAAGCAAACGATTTAATAGATACTTTTTTTAAAGCACTTTGAGCTGATGCACATGATTTGGATTGAAGGATTTTATTGGTGTTCATTTTTTAAACGTCAAAAAGTCAAACGCTGGTGTTTTGCAGTTTCACATTTGCAGCCTAGGTGTGAAGTTGTGGTGTGAAGCCTGCATGCTTCCTGTGGTTTGAGAAAAAGGAAGGCAATTAAAAAAAAATAACAGTTCCCTACTCGTCTTCAATTACTTGTGCTATCACAGCTTTGATAACTGTTTTATACAGCCAGTGTATAGTCAAGTTTGATAATAGTTGTGGTACTTTTCTTTCCGTCACAACTGGAGCACAACATGAGGCTCAACATCACACCGTCATTTTTTAAGAAACAGTTACATTAAAAAAAAAAACGTCGGTGTTCCACTAGAGGCAAGAGTTTCGGAGCTATGACGCGGCGTCGCTTACGTCGAGGCGTGCAGGAAATGTGTACCTTACTTTGACCATCCGTTCGCTGTTATTGATCATTGTGGAGAGCAGGCAGACGTTTTGTTTGTTATTATAGCAGCTATCGGATGGAATCAATACATGGTCTGCACAGGTTGTCATGTCCGACTATCACAAGTAGAATCATAATGAAAAATACGCCGGTAAAATGTGCCTTTAGAAAACGGCTTAGCAAGTAGTCAGTTTAGCTTCGGTTGCTATGCTAACATCACCCATGTTATACCAGAGAAACTTTCATAACAGCGTTGTGATGCCAAAACAGCGTCAATTCAGACTGACACACATTCACTTAAGGGGAACTGGGGATATGTATCAGCTGCTTGTGTGACAGTCAGAGATATGAAGTCATTTCCATTTCACAACACTGCATTGTTTAACTTCCTCTGAGTTTGATGGAAAAACAACAATATTTAACCTTTCTCATTCAGCTTTGGATGATTGTAGACTGTTAGATTTGATTTTCAGATGTTCTGTAACAGAGAAGAGGGACCATGTGATTCTTTAAAGACCCTCCCCATGCCCTTTTTCTGTACTCTCCTGTGTTTCTGCGTAAACTTTCCAACGGTAATGCTGATGTTATGTGACTTACATACATTAAGTACTGTGGACAATCCCCACAGGAGCAATTTGGGGTAAAGTGTCTTGCCCAGGGACACAACGACATGCTGACTGCAGTGGGGTTTGAACCTGATCCGAACACCAACGCACAACCCACTGCACCACACGCCTACCGTGTTATGTCGTTTTGGCTCGAACAGTTTTTATAGGAAAAGACTTAAGTCACTCGTCATCACTTTCTTACCGATCACAAATGGCCAGTTTTGAGCATCAAAGTTGATTTAATCCAAAAATCTGAACCCCGATGAATGATTTTATTCATTTGGAGGATTTTTGGGGGGGTTAAAACATGATGACCGTAGAAGTTAAACTCCAAAAACCTCAATTGAAGCTTCGAATGTAGAAATTAAATGACATTCGGTACAGCCTTAATTTCTTTTGTAATGATTCATTAAACCCATTTTGACTCCAAACTCCAATAATGCGATTTCTAAAGAAGGCTCCAATACGTTATTTTTAGATATTGTATGAGGAATATATGAATGTTTCACCTTATTAGATGATGATGACTCATGAAACCATTTCCTGTGGGTAGCCTTCACAGAAAATGAAACCCTATCAAAGCGACATTGCAATTAAAGAGTTCAAGCCCAATTCTACACCCCTTTAATACAGAAAATTGATTATTTTGAGTATAAAACAACACATTATAATACATATTTAAGTTCATGCAAGTGAAGTTTAAGCAGACGTTATATTAGAGCGTGTGTTTTGCTGTGCGTGGCTTCCTGGCAGATTGCGGTGTGCTCAGAGACGACAGGATATAAATCACACGTATGAGGCAGAGTTTCATTTCATATGCTACGGTTTCACATTTAATGGTTTGTGTGAAATGTGCAGGAGGGTGAGGAACACGCAGGTTCGAACCTATTTTTTGTAGAATGGTAGACGTTTCGAGGTGAGCTTCAAAAAGGAGCATCATTGCTGCTCACACACGATGTTGTGGTCGAAGTTTAATCCACATTTGACTCCACTTTTCCACGCTTCAATGTTCAAAAAGCTCTTTATTTCTCTCATACTGCCTGTGCTGCATCACCTCTTTTCACCCTCTGTCTGAAACCAGAGCCCAGTCTGCTCTGATTGGTTAGCTGGCCGGCTCTGTTGTGATTGTACAATCGCTTAGAGATGTCCCGAGAATCCAGAAAGTATTATATGCTGCTTGTACAATAAATACATATTTCTGTTGCATTTAAACCACCCTTCAGCCACCAGAGGACCTACTGTAAGTGAGGCTTTTGAAAAGATCAGAATCCCAGAATGCTGCATTTGAGTTATCATGTGATTGATTGAAGCATTTACACATCTGCTTCTCTGTGTTTCCTCACGTTTCTTTCCGTCCCAAAGATTCCCAGGAGCTGTGTGACATTCACGCTGCGAGGGGCGACAGCGTCAATGTGCCTCTGGGCCGCACACTGACCGACACAGACCGCTTGAAATGGACGTACAACAACAGTATGATCCTATTTAGTCGGATTTCGAAAAAAAGCAAATTACTCTCAGGGAAAAAGGAAGACATTCATGAAAACGGATCCTTGTGGCTGAAGGATGTGACGATGATCAACAACGGGGCGTACAAGCCTGAGGTTCTGGATGCAAAGGGAAAGACAATTGGAAAGGAATTGAAAACCACACGTTTATGTGTATTGGGTGAGTAATAACCAAATGTATTTAAGTGTTTCTTGATAAACTGGATGTGTAAAAACAACCACCAACTGTTTAAAATGTGTATTATTTATCCAAATTCTACTCTTAAAGTGAAAGAAAACATCATTTGGTTTCATTTCCTATCATATGTCAATTTCACCACATCTTATCTCAAAGTTTCTGGTAATGCAAAGTGTTTTTTTTTATCCAAAAAGGCTTTATCCTGATGTTTGTTCTGATTCATCTCCTCAGAACGCGTCCCGAAGCCTTCAGTGGCCGTTGAATGTAAAAAAACCTCAGCCATATTTACCTGCAATTTCGCTAAGAAGGTAAGAACAAAAGTACATTTCATTCATTATTTAAGTTAGGAAAGAAACAAGAGCCAAATCAAGTTTGTTTTAAAGCTGGTTCTGGCTGCTGTTAACAAACCATTATCCTAAATAACAACTTTAGTGTTAGCTCGTAGCGTTAGCTGAATCTGAGGCATTATAGGTCAATGCTAAACCTGCATAAATAGTTACTGAAAGAAAGTTTAAAAGTTGTTCTTTGTTCCACACACTCAAAAAGTTTGCTTATCTGACCATTTAAATCAACTAAACTTAAAGGGGACCTATCATGCTATATTTGAATAATATAGCATGATAGGTCCCCTTTAAAGGGCCCATGTCATGCTTTTCTGGTTATTACCCGTCCCCTTGTGTGTTATGAAGGTTTTTCTGCATGTAAACGGTCTGCAGAGTCACAACCCCTCAAAGTACACCCTGTAGCGAGTAAAACTCTAACACAGAAAAGACCTGTCTATGTGTGTGTGCTCAGGCAGCAACCAGGAAACGACACCAGTAATCCAGCTCACACTGGCCGCTCCTCGAGCCTCAAAGGGGCGGAGCAGCGAGCCCCGCAACGTCCCGCCAACACGGCACCCAGACCCCACGCAGCATTCTCATCTGGTTGTCATTACTGGTGTCATTTTCTGGTTGCTAACAAACGCCATTGTAAAACACATAATCACTGATGTTCCGCTGTAACGGTGGTGGACTCATCAGAACAGAGTGGGCGAGCTGACCAATCAGAGCACACTGGGCTCACAGGGAGGGGGTCAGGAGCTCCAACAAGCCGTTTAGGACAGAGAGTGAATACACATACTATACAGAGATGCTGTATGAGAAACCAATGTGAGTTTGGAACATTGGACAATATAAATCTATTCTAGTAGACCTCAACAATGGAATTATGATCAGTAGAAATGGCCATGACATGGGACCTTCAATGTCAGCTGATGGATTTTTGCAGAGACCATCTTATCTGAAATGTGGTTAGGGTTTTTTCTGTCAAGCTACTGTGATATTTCCAAAGCAACTCAACTTTTCATTTTATTTTATTCTTCAATTTTATTTTATTAAATTCTTTGTTGTTTAATTCAGTTAATTTGTAATCTAATTTTATTTGTATTTTATTTTTATTCTATTCCATTTCGTCTATTCTTTTTTATTCTATTTTATTTTATTTTTGAGCTCTTTAAATGGCCAGTAGGAATTTGTGTGCTATATAACTAAAGTTGGATTGGATTCCAGTTTCACCTGAAGCTCCAGATCTTCTCTAATCTCTCCGTTTCTCCACATGTATCTACCCAGTATTCCAGTGACAAGGTAGAGTGGCTAAAGAACGACAAGGTGGAGGCAAAGCTCAAAGGTGAATGGAAACTGACTCAAGAAGCCAAACAGGTGCAGTCGGACTCCTTCAGGTGCAGCGTCACCACCCGACTCGGCGTGATGAAGAGCGACGCTGTGACGAAGAACTGCGTGAAGGGCTGTGAGTATCAAACACATCGGATTCACTCTCAGGAGGAAGAAGCCATTTCTCTCCCAGCTTCTCAATGTGTTTCTTCTCCTCTTTCTCCCTCAAGTTTTGAAGGAGAAAATACAAATATTGGGACAAAATATTTATATCTGGATTATCGTGGCCGGTGGAGGAGGTACGTGTTTTTATCAGACTAGACTACATATACTAATACATCTTTTTATCAGACTATATATACTAATACATATTTTTATCAGACTATATATACTAATACATATTTTTATCAGACTACATATACTAATACATATTTTTATCAGACTATATATACTAATACATATTTTTATCAGACTACATATACTAATACATATTTTTATCAGACTATATATACTAATACATATTTTTATCAGACTACATATACTAATACATATTTTTATCAGACTATATATACTAATACATATTTGTATCAGACTATATATACTAATACATATTTTTATCAGACTATATATACTAATACATATTTTTATCAGACTACATATACTAATACATATTTTTATCAGACTACATATACTAATACATCTTTTTATCAGACTACATATACTAATACATATTTTTATCAGACTATATATACTAATACATCTTTTTATCAGACTACATATACTAATACATATTTTTATCAGACTATATATACTAATACATATTTGTATCAGACTACATATACTAATACATATTTTTATCAGACTACATATACTAATACATCTTTTTATCAGACTACATATACTAATACATATTTTTATCAGACTATATATACTAATACATCTTTTTATCAGACTACATATACTAATACATATTTTTATCAGACTATATATACTAATACATATTTGTATCAGACTATATATACTAATACATATTTTTATCAGACTACATATACTAATACATATTTTTATCAGACTATATATACTAATACATATTTTTATCAGACTACATATACTAATACATATTTTTATCAGACTATATATACTAATACATATTTTTATCAGACTACATATACTAATACATCTTTTTATCAGACTACATATACTAATACATATTTTTATCAGACTATATATACTAATACATATTTTTATCAGACTACATATACTAATACATATTTTTATCAGACTATATATACTAATACATATTTTTATCAGACTACATATACTAATACATCTTTTTATCAGACTATATACTAATACATATTTTTATCAGACTATATATACTAATACATATTTTTATCAGACTACATATACTAATACATATTTTTATCAGACTACATATACTAATACATATTTTTATCAGACTACATATACTAATACATATTTTTATCAGACTATATATACTAATACATATTTGTATCAGACTATATATACTAATACATATTTTTATCAGACTACATATACTAATACATATTTTTATCAGACTATATATACTAATACATCTTTTTATCAGACTACATATACTAATACATATTTTTATCAGACTATATATACTAATACATCTTTTTATCAGACTACATATACTAATACATATTTTTATCAGACTATATATACTAATACATATTTGTATCAGACTATATATACTAATACATATTTTTATCAGACTACATATACTAATACATATTTTTATCAGACTATATATACTAATACATATTTTATCAGACTACATATACTAATACATATTTTTATCAGACTATATATACTAATACATATTTTTATCAGACTACATATACTAATACATATTTTTATCAGACTATATATACTAATACATATTTTTATCAGACTACATATACTAATACATATTTTTATCAGACTACATATACTAATACATATTTTTATCAGACTACATATACTAATACATATTTTTATCAGACTATATATACTAATACATATTTGTATCAGACTATATATACTAATACATATTTTTATCAGACTACATATACTAATACATCTTTTTATCAGACTATATATACTAATACATATTTTTATCAGACTATATATACTAATACATATTTTTATCAGACTACATATACTAATACATATTTTTATCAGACTACATATACTAATACATATTTTTATCAGACTACATATACTAATACATATTTTTATCAGACTATATATACTAATACATATTTGTATCAGACTATATATACTAATACATATTTTTATCAGACTACATATACTAATACATATTTTTATCAGACTATATATACTAATACATCTTTTTATCAGACTACATATACTAATACATATTTTTATCAGACTACATATACTAATACATATTTTTACCAGACTACATATACTAATACATATTTTTACCAGACTACATATACTAATACATATTTTTACCAGACTATATATACTAATACATCTTTACTACATATACTAATACATATTTTTATCAGACTACATATACTAATACATATTTTTACCAGACTACATATACTAATACATATTTTTATCAGACTATATATACTAATACATCTTTTTACCAGACTATATATACTAATACATATTTTTACCAGACTATATATACTAATACATCTTTTTATCAGACTATATATACTAATACATATTTGTATCAGACTATATATACTAATACATCTTTTTATCAGACTACATATACTAATACATCTTTTTATCAGACTATATATACTAATACATATTTTTATCAGACTACATATACTAATACATATTTTTATCAGACTACATATACTAATACATATTCTTACCAGACTACATATACTAATACATCTTTTTACCAGACTATATATACTAATACATCTTTACTACATATACTAATACATATTTTTATCAGACTACATATACTAAAACATATTTTTGCCAGGCGTTTTATACCAATATACTTTATGTACTAATATGTGTTTTTATCAGACTTTATATACCAGACTACAGACATGGAAATAAGTGGAACATAAAAAAGAAAGCCACTGTAACTCGACCTATGCTACATTTCTGATGGAAAGCATGATATTGATATTGTAATGTCCCCTCAGGACTTGTGCTGTTGCTGATAATCCTGGTGATCATTTGCTGCCTCTGCACCAAATGGAAGAACCGCAGGCGACGGCAAGGTGGGTTTCTTACCATTTGTATTATGTGTGTATTTGTATAGGTTATAGGTTAGTCTATTATAGTATATTCTAATTTATTCTCTATATTTGTATATTGTGAACTCTGTAAATACTCTATAGACACACATTGTTCTATTTTTAATTAATGTGCAATGCCTCTTATCTATGTCTAAACACTCAAAATATGTAGTTTTGTTTGAATTAAGAAGCAAAAAAAAGGCACTTTAGACTTCACAATACATTTTTCACTCAACAGAGATGCGTTTGGAGTGGACCAAAGAAGATCAGCATAACCATCAACATGCACAGACTCCCCTCCACGACCATCCTCATCTTCCTCCTCCTCATCATCATCCTCCTCCTCAGCAGCAGCAGCAGCAGCCGGCGGGACACACGGGGCCCAGAAAGCATCGCTCCAAACGAGACCCCCAGCAGAAACCCAGAGTCCCTGAAGGACATCCAGAGCCCAACCCCCGCAGAGCTGCTCAGGTGAGGTGGGGGGGGGGAGGTGTGTGTGTGTGTGTGTGTGTGTGTGTGTGTGTGTGTGTGTGTGTGTGTGTGTGTGTGTGTGTGTGTGTGTGTGTGTGTGTGTGTGTGTGTGTGTGTGTGTGTGTGTGTGTGTGTGTGTGTGTGTGTGTGTGTGTGTGTGTGTGTGTGTGTGTGTGTGTGTGTGTGTGTGTGTGTGTGTGGCGGCGCCATGATGGTTCATTTAACAGCTATCCCCATGATGACTTACTAATGTTTTAGACCTGATGCCAGACAGCAGCAGACAGAACAGTTTGTGGCTTGGGGGGTTGGGGGTCTTTGTAGAATCTGTTCAAATCCTCTCTTTTCTTCCTCAGGTGCCCAGACCAGCTGAGGCAGTGGATGAAGAGCAGCCTCCTCCTCTTCCTCAGCCCCGGAAGACAGGTCCCAGAGCTCAGAGGGTGTGACATCCCTCCTCTTCTTCAGGGGTTCACCTGGTCTCTTCTACAGAGGTGTATCAGGGCCGTGTCGGTCATGGAAATTAACATTATTCTAAAGATTTAAATGACCTTTTTCCAAAATTAAAACGGTAATTTTAGAGGAAAAAACTGACCATTTTGCGAGAAAAACACTTGAATATTCTCTGTGAATAAAATCAGACATTTTCAGGTAAAGAAATGTTGTTAAAATATAAAAGTTGTGGGATTTCGTCCAGAATCCACCGGTGGCCACGCATCAGAATAATCAAGTTAATTTTCCACATATTTCTGGTACATTTGTGACTCTCTTTTTTAAATATATTTTTAATGAATACTCCACTTCTTAGAGATGTACCTCTAAAAGTGACCTGCTGGCTCTGAAATGTATTGTTTACCTATTATGCCAGACAGACAAGTAAATATAGAAAATATTTTTATTTTAAGTGCCAGATAATATCACTGCAGTATTTTTATATATATTTTGTCAAAACTCTTAACTCCTAAAAATACAGTTCTTTATTTATGTGTGTGTAAATGGATTAATAAATAAATGTGGACGGCATAGAAATCACAGACGGCTAATATGTAAACTTTAATGATGAATTCTTGCTTATCGAGCAGGGTTGACTTGATCATAACAATAATGTAAATACAGTAATGTCCTCCATGTGTTTATATGCAGAAAAGTAACCATACCATATGTTTTATTTATCTGTGAAACCACCATACAATGTCAGAAGCATATGTTTTATACTCTGCTTTTTAATGTACAAATGTTGATTTAAACCGGATGCAGTTTAAAGTTTGAAAATAAATGGTGTTGTCAATTCTAATGAGACGTTTCCAGGGAAGATATGAGCGTGGTTAAATGATGGCGTCATTTTCACCTCTGCATCTTCGTGCAGCGTTTTCAGGCTGAATGCAAAGAACTGTGGGTGTGTGTGTGTGTGTGTGTGTGTGTGTGTGTGTGTGTGTGTGTGTGTGTGTGTGTGTGTGTGTGTGTGTGTGTGTGGTGTGTGTGTGTGTGTGTGTGTGTGTGTGTGTGTGTGTGTGTGTGTGTGTGTGTTGGTGAGAGAGAGAGAGAGAGAGAGAGAGAGTGTGTCATCCTGCGTCTGTTCTGCTTAAAATGTGTTTGTGGTTTTGACTGTTTTAGGCTCCTGCAAACTGCAAGATTATCGTGTGTGTGTGTGTGTGTGTGTGTGTGTGTGTGTGTGTGTGTCCTCCTTTATTCTCCTCTTCCTCATTATTTAATTATTTAGTTGTTGCTTTTTCTTCACACCCACCCTGTGCGGCTGTTTTATTTTCACACCTACCATCCACTCTTTATTTAACAATGATGAGAAATTATTTTAAGTTCTTAAAAGATGAATTGAATATACCCAATTTACAACAACTCAAGCATTTTCTAGAACTGTTGTAATTCTTACTCAATTTCTTCTCCAGTCCATTCAACAATATCTGTTCATTTAAATACTAACACATGAGATGAAAATATATTCTATGTTAATAAACGCAAAGCACCATCTAACACATAACGTGCATACAATTATCACCTGGACTTGCAACGCCAATATGTCATCACAGTACAATGTCTATCCTCTGTTAGTGATATACTGATTTATTTTTCTTTGAGTCAAAAAATAAGTCAACATTTTGATTTCAAGTAAGATTTGTTTTGAATTACTTGTATAGCTTGATTCCCGTAGATTTATTGATGACTTCATGAACATTCTTTTAAATCTATTAAATACGTAACATTTAGAAACATCCACCAAACGTCATACATTTTTTGACCTGTGTATTGTTAGTGATAACTACAGAATAAATGGTACATTTTCTGATTTTCGTTGTTTTTGTTCGTGTATTTACTCAGTGTGTCCACTAGATGGTGCTGTAGACACACGGGTCGATTGGTAGTCAAGCTTAGATGCATTTAATATTTTCAGCTCAATATGACATGCTCCTTTAAAGGTGAGGAACATTTTCCAACCCCTCAACCAACTTAAAACTCAATGGATTGTCTAAAAATATAAGTCATTAAAAAAATCACACGGTGAAAACACATGTAATAAATCCAACAAGATGATCTCTCACATCCTTTTAGATTTAAATCCAGATGTATGCAATAGATGTATAAACAATATATATTATTCCCTTAATCTTTATTGTCAGAGTGAATTCTCTTTGGCCAGTAGGTGGCGCTACATGTCAAATCTTTCACATTTTGAGGTTTTAGGGTAATCTAACACTTAAAGTTGACCCAATGTTGACCCTAGGATTTGACTGTCTGTATTTAATCATGTATATCCACTGTAATACTTTATTCCTTCTATGTGAAGAACTGAATTAAGTCTATTCAATTGTTTTTAATTAATTTTAAAGCAAGTCTAAAGAGGAGAACATATTTAAGGTGAGTGGATTAAGATTTAGTGCCAGGAATACAGGACTATGGTTAATGAGTGATAGGGGAGTAGGTCAATGAGATAACACTATCCTGTGTGTGTGTGTGTGTGTGTCAGTTTAAACAGGCGTCACCTTTGAGACCACATGCAGTACTAGACTTGATTCCCATTGGCCACACACACACACACACACACAAACACCTTTTAAAAATAGGACATTCAAATGTATCACAGCAGATGACCCTCGAAGTTTTAACCTTTGACCCCGACCAGGTTACAGACCCAAACTCCTCTCCTTCTGGCTGGCCGGTGATCTTTGACCTGCACGGTGTGTCTGTGTAAATACACACACATACACACACACACACACACACACACACACACACACACACACACACCTGCTACAGACAGCAGGCATGTGTCAGCGACAGGTCTGTCAAAAGGGCAGGAAATATAAAAAAAGTGTGACATATACATATCGTTAAACAACAGTTAAAACAGCATAGTTAGGAATTAGCTTAGCTTAGCATAAAGACTGGAAACAGAGGCAAACTGCTAGCATTACACTGAAGCTAAAGCCGAATACTGTAGGTATTAAAATAAAGTACCAAAAGAAAAGTACTATTTATGGACAATGGCCCATTTCAGAAGAATATCTATAGTTTTTTAATTATTGATGCATTCATGTTTTCATTACTTTAATATTGCAGCTGGTAAACGTGGACCTTATCTGCATTTCTTGGGAGTTTTCTTAGTAATAAGATATACTTTAGGATTACATTTGTGAATCTGCAAGGTGGCTAAAGTTATATTTAAATAATGTAGTTATTAGTTAGTTATACAATATTTGCCTCTGAGATGAGTAAAAGTATAAAGTAGCATGCACAATTATTTCACATTTTACTTTATTTTAGCACATGGCAATTCAAAGTGCACTTGGAAAAACATTAAAAGCATTAGACATAGTGCAAAAGAAACACTGTGAATTGAAAAAAACGCCAAGAAAAGACACATTCAAAAAGATAGAATGAGACAGTTAAAAAATACAAAAAATGTAAGTTGTAGTGCAGTGTCAGTTTGAATAGTGATTAAATGCACTTAGATACATCCCATTTCTGTTGTTTATTAGGTCCATACACAAATACAGAGTGTAAAGCATCACATCAGAGGTGTTGCATGGACATGTCTGCAGCATGCACCTTGTGGCAGGATATTATCGATCAGGGAGTCTCTCTCCACCTGGGACCTCCCTGCTCCACCACTCCTCCTCCAGCCCGTCACCTAACTTCCGGCCACTCTCCCTCCCCTCCCAGCCTCCCTCACTATCAATCTCACCCTTATTCCCATGCACACGTTGAACCGGTTCAGTGTCAGTGTGTGGACCGTGTAAACACTACCTTTGGGATCCGTTTTTCTCTGGATTATAGTCGGTTTTTTTCTGCGGCTGCGCCCGGTGTGCGGTGCAGAGTTGAAGAGGACTGCTGTTACCCCACACGCAGGACAAAGAAAACGGGGGCAAATTAAGGGGGAAAAGACAGAAGAAAAAAGGAATGAAAATGGATAAGTGTCTCCTCATGGTGGTCGTCGGTGTTTTAATGCTCGGTAAGAAACGCTTCTCTGCTTCACTGCTGATTGCTAATTAACTCTCCAGCCAGGAGTGCCAAACTGTGTTTCGAAATATGTTAATTTAATCATTACTAGTATGTCTGCAAACGTAAATGTATTTTAAAGGATCAATTTAAGCATTTTTTATATCTTTAACATCCATTAACCAGTTCGGCATATATCCAATCCACTAAGCAGCATTTCATTTCTTTTAATTTACACATTTTGTACTGGTTCTCACCGCTAGCCGCTTCAACCTACCGTGTATTTGGATTCAGGGCTGCAACAAGCGAAGAGGTTCAACAAGTTCAAATTTAAGTGATTCATTGGTTTCTCCTGGTTTGTCTGATAATGCCGAATTGAAAAATGAATCCAATTCATCTAGAAAAATCAATAATTCAGGTTGTCAGAGATGTCTGCATGTAATGACAAGCAAAAAAGCTAAAATGGTATATTAATAAAGGGGGTTTGGTGCGAGGATTCTTGGTAGCTTCCCCCATAACTGCCTCACCGTGTTAAAACTGCTCTAAAATTATGTTTAGCTAATTTATTAACCTAATTTCGACAATTGACTTGCTATTCACCTAGCTTTATGTTAATTAAAACACATGAGGGAGAAAACATGGAGGGGAAAACTCCCTTTTCTCAATTAACTAAAGATTTCTGTTGTGAGGAGATTAATGTAGTGGAGAAATGGTACATAAAACACTTTTTTAGGGGAGAAAACAGTCCACGTTTTCAGTCTCAGTGCTATTAAACCTCTCTATAACCAAGAAGACTGAACTTCCATTAAAACCATCATGAGGTGACCAGCTCTGACAAGGTCCCATTAGCCCACTGGGATGTCAAACTGTGCTGGCCACCACGAGTAGCCTTATTATTTCCCATGCATGCATACTAGAGTTAAACCAGGCTGACTAATTATCCAGCAGGTTTGAACCAAAGGGCCACAATGCTTAGTCATTAGGCTGTTTTCTCCACGTTCAGGGACATCCCAGGGCTTGTTCACTGGTTTACCTCAGGGCCAAATCAGGCTTAACAGGCTCACAAATACTGAAGTTGCCATGTGTTTTTGAGGTAATGCCATAGGCTCTCCTGTGTATAGTGTGTGTGTGTGTGTGTGTGTGTGTGTGTGTCAGAAAGAGGGCCTTGGCTTAAATTAGTGCAGTGTAAGATGATCAAATGTCACCACCAGCACTCCTGTGGTGTGTGTTTCTGTAGGTGTGTGTGACGCTGCAGATTGAAAAGAGGCCATATTGTACTTCCCTTCACATGGTTTATTTCAACATATTGATGACCTGTTCTATGACGTATCTGCCTTCACCATTTTAGTTTTTGGAGATATTAACACAAACCCTACACAAATGCATACTGCCAGCTCCCAGCCATAAGTAACCTTTACAGTGAAAAGAAGATGAGAGTTATGGCTTGCAGCACATATTTTGCCCTTTATATATCATAAGTATTGCATGATATCATATTGCAGAAGAGGTGTAGAGCTGCAAACATTAACCATTAGTTGTAAACTACTAAACTAGTCTGCACATTATCATACTTTGATCCATTAATCAGTTCAACACGTATTCTATGAATAAATATGCATGTATTTTTCTGATTTCTATACTACTGTATAAGAGTAAACTGAATACCTTTTACCTCAAATATCTCCCTCCTAACTTAATGTATGTCTCAACTCATAATAGACTGGGACAGGCAAGTGGGGACCACCATGGTTTACTGTGATAGGTCAAATTACCTGTCAGTCAAGCAAAAACAGCCCTTGTATACTTATTTAAGGGAAAGGAAAAATAAGAAATGTCCTAGTTTTTGAAGGTTGTTTTTTGTAGAGATTAAACGTCAACATACTGTATGACATTTTAGCAAGCTTAAAATGCTGGTAGACAGATTTTCTTTGTTAACCTTTAGATAGCCAGGCTGTTTTCCTGTCCTTATGCTAAGCTAAGCTAAGTCTCTCGTGGATGCAGCTAGATATTTACTGCACTGGGTTTCAGATTCAGATGTAACAGTGCTATCAATCCTCTCATCAGAAGAGAAATGGCAGCAGGACCGTTGCCCCTCTGGCGCTCCACACAAACCCATCCAGAAAATGTCACTCTGTCCAATTATTTTTAGATTTTTGACTTGATTATTGAACTTTCTGATGGCTTGAGGCTCTACTGGCTGCAGTATGCCTTCAAGGAGAGACAGCAAATCTTATTTTTAGTGATGAATGGCGCTATAGCACCTCTCCCACACACACATACAGCCTCTTTACGCTGGTCATTTTGTGATATGACACTGCAGAAATCCTCAGTGCACAGGAAAGACGGAGAGAAAGTCTTCAAACTGGATTTTCTCGAGTTGAATGAATCACTTTCTCTTATCAGCATGAGTAATGGCAACAACCTCAATGGAAGAATTTGAAGTGTTTGACGTCATAAAGCTCGCAACTGTTAAATGATTCATTGATTTAACTGTTGCAATAACATTGTGGCTGTCGGAAGACTCTGGTTTGTGTGATATTAAGTCATAGACACACACAATAAGTCTTTTATGCTATCTATAACATTGTGCCTTCACTAAAGCAGAGAAAAGCTTCACGTAACACCAGGCCGACTGCCAGAAACTCAAGTATTGATGGACTCTTTCAAGTATTGATGGATAACACACACACAGGACTCGGTTTTGAAGCAATTTATTTTTATATACCGAAGCTGAGCCACTTTCATTTCTGTTTAAAAGGACCAAGGAAGACGAGATTATAATTATTTTTTACTACAAAGCCCCTTCTTGTTTTGAAGACCGTTTGATGTGATGTCTTACAGAAAGAGAGAGTCATACGAGACCTTAATAAAACTCACTAACATTTTCAATTTCTTGAACATTTCTAAGTGTATAAAAAAACATCCAGACAACTGTTATTTTTGCTGTAATGCATATATCATAGGAGTATCATAATGAAAGTCAATAATAGTTTGCTTTCTTTGAGCTAAACGCACTTCTTTATTTCATTTAAATAAAAAGTACCTAGGGTTTGGTTGGACCTATTTTTAGGAAAGTGTTCAGTGTGCTCAGCAATTACTTGATGTGGTACTGGTCTTGACATTGACATCAGGACCCTGCAGTCTTTTTTTAGCTGCAGTCCATTTACCCTTCAGCTGATCTGAGAGCAGACGTCAGGGTCAGGGGTTATGCTTTTTTGTTTTTCAGCCTGATCCGTCAGCAAAGTGTCAAACAGTGAGACTCTCTGCTGGGTCTCGACATGCTTCAGCTGGAATGCCTCTGACGGAGGAGGAATGTGAACCAGGTGGTTTGATCCTCTCTGACGCCGTACCTGAACCACTTTCATAAACAAATGAGGCTAAATTAGAGAGTGACTGATTTATAAACCTCGATCACTCGCTGCTGGTTTCTGCTTCTGCTGGAGTGCTGACAGCAGGTCGGTGTTTCCTGCCAAACAAAATTATGTGGGCAGGAGAGTGTGTGTGCGGAAATAATAAATCCAGAATGCAGTCTGGGGTTGAGCAGCAGCATCATCAATACTATTCAACTGTGCACAGGTTGCAACAAGCCCCGTCTGTATGTATGTGTGTGTGATGGTTTCTGTTTTGCATGTTGAAACAGGGCTGTTGTGCCAAGACACCCTTAGGAACTAAATTGCTTTTTTCCCCCTAACTGAAATATCTTTAAAACCCATTTTTAATGAAGAAAATGTCAGTTTTTGAGGCTTTAAAATGTAGAAACTTCCTGTTTATTGTTTTGTATTGTTATAAATGGTATCTTTTGGTCTTGGACTGGAGAAATTGGCAATTTTAATGACATTGGCTTTGACTAATGAGCGATGCAATGGATATTTTATAGACCAAACGATTGATTAAGAAAATTATGTTCAGATTAATTGATGGGGAAAATATTCCTTAATTGAAACTAGTAATCCATCTACGTTTTGATCAGCTTTTTTCACACCATCCCTGAACATCAAATATATGAACATTACATTACATGTCACTGGTTAAACACTTTTATCCAAAGCGACTTACATACATTCAGTACTGTGGACAATCTCCACAGGAGCAATTTGGGGTGAAGTGTCTCAGGGACACAACGACATGCTGACTGCAGTGGGACTCGAACTTGCTATGATTCAAAGTTCAGCGTACTAAATTCAGCGCACAATCCCACTGAGCCACAGCCTCCCTATGAACATTGGCCAAAGAAGCATTCGGCTTAATGACTAATAACAGACAGACTAAAGTAATGCCACCGTGTTATTGCATCAGACTGCTTCTAATACAGCAAACACATATTTCCCTCAGCAGATATCTGAGTGCAGCGCTTCACTCCATTTCAATGAGACTGATATGGTGTTCCACATTTTGCTTTGGATGTAATAAGTTTGTTGAGCATTGATTTTTCCCAGCCTTCAGAATAGAGATCAAAGAGGTTTTTCACACCGCCTCAAAAATCCAATCCAGCCCGGGCGCATTTGTCTGCTTTAAAATGAATTGTGCTAAAACAAACTTCCTTTATTAAAAGATAACTCTCTCCATCTCTGCAGGTGGGTGTTCGGCCCGGATGGTGACGGTTTCTCCGGGTCCTTTAATTCGGGTGGAGGGTCAGCCGGTCTCCATCAGATGTGAGGTCGCTGAATACAGCGGGCCTAGAGAGCAGGTGAGTGTCATAATAATAGGGATTTCTTTGTAATTGAAATCTTTATTGTCACATGGCAATAACATTACCATCATGTAACAAAAGGCCAGCAAGGCAATACAATAAAATAAAAGGGTAGGGATATGTCTTATTATATTCTTGAAGATACATGTATCTATTAGGGATGGGAACGATTAATCGAATATTCGAAATTATTCAGGTATTCGAATATGAGAATATGAGAATATGAATAATTTTTTTTTTTTTTTGGGAGGGGTGCCTAAGTTGATTACATATTATCAAATGGAATAATTCAATGTATACGACAGTGCCATAGCTAAATGTGTTAGGTCTAAAGGTGTGTTTTGCTCCGCTCACCGGTCCCTCACTGATCTCTCTCTCTCGCGTCCGGTTATACTTCACTCGCGTTTATGTCCAAATCCATCAGATCTAGCTAGTTCTAGCTAATGATATGGCTGCTGCCCCTCCCTACACGCAGATCACGCACACTCAAACCTCATCTTATGCCCAAATTCCAGCTGAGAGGGTCTTCTCTACAGCTGGCCTGATTGTGAATCGCCTCCGCACCCACCTCTCCCCTGAGTAGACATGCTCATATTCTTAAACAAGAATGAGTATTGAATAGCTGCATTCTGTGCATAGACACTGCTATAGGTTGTTGATCTCTGTTGTGATGGGGTTGCGTTACCCTAACCCGTTATGTTGTTCGTGTATGATCCCTCTTTCATTTAAAAACCAAGTTATGTTTTAAGCATGAAAGCTGTAGGCCTATAGCTGTCAACTGTTCAAACTGTGACCACCAGTTCAATACATTTGACAGATTCGACTTGGTTTCTATACTTATTTGAACATGTATTTATTTATTTTTCTAAATTAAATATATATATATTTTTCTTTTATAGGATATGTACATTTCGGTTAATCGGTTAACCGTTTTTTTGGGGGACGAATATTCGAATATACATTTGCTTTCAAATTCCCATCCCTAGTATCTATGAGCTATTGTTCCAGTCAAATGTCTTTTGTTTTGAGTCTTGTATCGAGTCCCTTTTCCCACTTTCTGTTGAGTTTCCATCAAAAAGATTTCTTCCACAATTGTTACCCATTGGTTTTTCGTTGGCGGTGCTTCCTTACCCCAATTCCTACTGATAGCTTTCTGATTTTTATCTCTTTTACTTTTATCTTGTCCTATATTATCTCTGGAAAAAAACAAAGTGTTCTCCATCTGTGTCTCTCTAGATATTTTAATAAACCTATTCATTGTTACAGAGTTATTTCCTAAAACACCTGCGGTTAGATTTATGTTTTACATTGCGTATAGTACAAATGTGTGCATAGTGCTACTCAAGTTTTTTTTAGACCTTTTATCTGGCTTTTATGTCCCAGAATTCCCTGCAATTAGTGAGCATTTTAATAATCCTGTGAGTTTGAGTATGGCTTGTTTTAGTATTCTGTTTTAAAGCACATGGAGGGAGCTGAAAAAGGACGATGAAAGAGACCTTTTGTATTAAACATGGAAATCTGGCCACTTGTTTTCAGAGGAAAAACCACGGGAAGAAGGGTTACAAATCTTCTGAAGAGCATTCTCTAATAATATAGTATTATTTATTGTCAAAAACAACACCTCTCTGCTACTACAATAATGTAGTATACACTTCATACAATATGATCAAGTCCCCTAAGCTTACCATGTTATCTTGATATTCTTTTCCCCCCTTAATTGTTATTATTTATGACTATGCATGTTTTCTTGTTGTCTGCTGTACTTAGTGTTTTGGTCTTGTCAATTATTATATGTATTGGTTTTGCACGATGACCAGTATGTGTACGCTGTCTCATTTTCGACGCAGAAAGATTGTAAGACATCGAGTATGTAAATGTGATGCAATTCTGTATGTTTGTTCTTATGATGTCCAAATAAAAAATAAGTTAAATAAAAAAAACACCTCTCCCTCCTCTTAGTCAACATGTTCTCCCTCTCTGCTCTGCAGGACTTCGAGTGGATGATGACCAGGGTGACAATCGGGACGAGGATAAAGATAATCTCCACGTTCGACGCCGGGTACTCCGACCCGTCGCTCAGCCAACGCGTCGCATCCGGAGACATTTCGGTGGAGCGTCTCCTTGACTACCAGGTGGAGCTGAAGATCGCCGAGGTGAAGACGACGGATGCCGGTTTCTACTGGTGTCAAACGCCGAGCACCGACTCTGTGATCAGCGGAAACTACGAGGCTCTGGTCCAACTCACTGGTACAGGGTTCAAGATTCAATTCAAGGCTTGTGTGTGTGTGTGTGTGTGTGTGTGTGTGTGTGTGTGTGTGTGTGTGTGTGTGTGTGGTGTGTGTGATGTGTGTGTGTGGTGTGTGTGTGGTGTGTGTGTGTGTGTGTGGTGTGTGTGTGTGTGTGTGTGTGTGTGTGTGTGTGTGTGTGTGTGTGTGTGTGTGTGTGTGTGTGTGTGTGTGTGTGGTGTGTGTAGTGTGGTGTGTGTGTGTGTGTGTGTGTGTGTGTGTGTGTGTAGTGTGTGTGTGTGTGTGTGTGTGTGTGTGTGTGTGTGTGTGTGATGTGTGTGTGTGGTGTGTGTGTGTGTGTGTGTGTGTGTGGTGTGTGTGTGTGTGTGTGTAGTGTGTGGTGTGTGTGTGTGTGTGTGTGTGTGTGTGTGTGTGTGTGTGTGTGTGTGTGTGTGTGTGTGTGTGTGTGTGTACTGATCATGTATCTATCCTCCCTCTTACACACTCCCACTGGTTTTACACAATTACTGGCTTGTAATTTGGCTTTTTTTACACACACACGCTATGAATACCTCTACACACTCGAGTTAGGGAGCAGATGTCGGGTGGGAGAAGTTGGCGAGTGTCAAATGAGGTCCAGGGAGAACGAGAGGTTTGATAATGAGTGGAAAATCTGCCTTTAACGACCTTAATTCTTGCTAATGTAACCACAGAAATTAAGATTTTAGGAAATGTTGCAGTCTTACTAAACCTTTACATCAACAAATCATGTTCCATTCACAAAATAAGGTTATAATGTTATCCCGTATCCAAGATAATACTTAGAGAGCACCTTCGCTTGAGTAGAAAACTAACTAAAATAACTCTGATATTGTATTCAGCTCATAATGAGAGCAGCACAGCAGGGAGGAAACATAATGAAATCCTCTGCATGCAAAACATCAACGATAATGGGATTACACTCAAAACAAAAACCTGTTCAACAAGAACGTAACTGTCCGGACAAGTCATCCATTTAAATGTAAACAAGTACGGAGATAATAAAGCCACGGATATGAGAGTAGTGATTTCTATTAACCTATTTGAGTTTTTTCTAATCTCTTTTATTACACGGCTTAGTTACTTAGAATACTCAATTCTGATTGGTCAATTTGGACATTCCAGAGGTTGTTCATTTTCGATAACAGACCGTTGCTAAGGAAAACAGACTGTCGCTAAGGAGGATAAAGGAACTGTGTGCAGTCATATCAATCCGCCGAAAGAAGTCCCTCAGAAAACACAGTGGAGTACTTTTTTTGATTATATTACAGTTTTTGAGTAAAAAAAAAAAAACCATAGCAAACTATTTTCAGCCTCGAAGCACAACATAGCGCCCTCGTTTATTTAACTAATGATCGTCTCTGTTTACTGGTATCCAATAAACAATGGAGGGGGGGGGGATTTACAAGCGTGCCAACATGTATATGGTCTTTTATTGGTGTCTGAGACCTCAATAACGATAAGAGGAAACAGCTTTCTAAATGTCTAGAAAACAAAGAATGATTGTATTAAAAGTGAGTTAGTGAAAGCTAAGGGTGTAAGTATTAAGATTGCGTATAATCAAATGTCCTATATTTTAAGATTTTATCTCACAGCTTCCCTCCATATTTCTAAATATGTCCTATCCAGGTATTTTACCTTCTTATTAAAGGGTCTACTTTGGCAGACAGAAACAATGTTCCAGTTGCTTCAGAGTCAGACCTCGCTGTGTACAATTTTAATTTGGACTATTTTCTGACACAGAAACAGAGGCAACGAGAGAGAAAACCCCTATTCAGCATTTTCCTTTGAATTAAATTGAGTTTTTCGCTTCCAGTCCACTTCTTTTTGGCGACTATTGCTTCAAATCCTCGGTCCCAAACGCATATCTAAAAAAAGGGATTGCAATAGGAGGGGTTTCAGGAGGATTTTTATAACATGAGTCCAAATGTAGGAGATGTAGTCACATGACAGCAGGTTATTTAGCTCCATAATGCCTCATCATGTTCGGCTGCCTCCCTGCACGGCTCCCCAGACACCTTGTTAAATTTAGACCTGAATTAACGAGGCAGCGTGTTTATGTGCCACGGAGATCCTAACGTTCATATGTACGGCATATGTGTTAGTGAGCAGTGTGTGTGTGTGTGTGAAGCAGACAGTCATTAACAAACTTGACAAGTCAGATTTGTTGCTGGAGGGGCAATACCAGTCCAGACACACACTCTCTCGCACTCACACACACACACACACACACACACACACTCTCTCTCACACACACACTCTCCCTCGCACACACACTCTCTCACACACACACACACACACACACACACACACACACACACACACACACACACACACACACACACACACACACACACACACACACACACTGCCCCACTGAGGCTGTTTGGTTATGTAAGACACAGTGAAATACAGGAGTTTGGAAACTCCTCTCAGGCTCGTTTTAATTGATGGAGCAAAGCACAGATCATGGTTTTCTGCCACAGACCCTCGCTTCTCTGCAGCTCGGGCACTTCCTGTCCGGTGCTGTCCTGTTCTGTCCGCTCTGCATGGCTAGAGCGATGTCGGAAGATGATGTCCCGGCTCTTCATCCCGCCTACAGATCTCCGATTGGTCCACAGGGACAGATAAGCCTCGTTCATATCATAAAAAGTCCTTAAAATATCCTTAAAATCTCTTAAAAGGCATTTGTATAGGATTGTATTTATTTCCCTCTTGGCATTGCAATAAAAAAAATGTCATAAGAACTGAAGGATCTGGGTTCAAAGGGTTATATGACGAAACACTTCTTAAGATGTGATGAATGAGGTGAAATTTGATGATTTCCTAAAGAATTTCAGTTGATTTCCTCCAAATGTGACCCGGTGGCTCACACATTCCTGCCTGCTTTAACACCACGTGAGTCATAGTTAAGTACACTAAGTAAGAGCTATCTATATTACTCACATCCTGTCTGTGTATCCTCAATATGAGCCTGTAGATAAAGATACATGCGTACTCTACCTAAAACACTCTATTTAAACCAAAATGAAGGTTTATTTACCACCTAAAGTTGAGAAGAACAGTCCTTTTTGCTTTCTGAACGCTTCTAAAAAGTCAGTCTTTCCCACAGGATGTGATGCGACATGATTGCAATTCCCGTAATGCACTGCTCTGACTCCTCAGTCCCAGCCATCTGCCACTTCTTGGATTCATTTTTAACACTGCTTACAAAAAGGATTATTCACCTTATTTATGTCAAAAATATTTTGGCGAGAGTTTAAAGCTATCGTACCTTTTTCAAATGTGAATTTAGTGTTGGAAGGTTTATATTAAATAAATACAACACCTGCAGTCAGTTTAGCATATGTAGACACACCCTAGAATTGGCTCAGATTATCACAATAAATTGCTGGAGATGATAAACCGGAGCCTGTAATCTTGTTATTGTTATTAACCCCCCCGTGTTGCACTGCCATCCATCAAATCATCTAATGTCTGCTGCTTCCCTTTCCCGTTGTGAAAAGCAGAGGTGAAACTCATTTTTAGTGCCGTTGTTATGGATGCATTCGAAGGAGAAGTCGTGCTCCCAGCAGGAGTTCCCCATTTTTTAATTTCCTCTCACACAGTGACTCATCAGCCTTCAGTGTGCGTCACAACAAGAGGAGAAACACAGCCATGGTTATACAAATCTGTTGGGACGTGCTCCAGGAAGGGTTGAGTATCAGAACAACACCAAGGCCAGAGTGAGAGAAAGGAGGATAATCTGAGGGAAATAAAGTGTACTCAGTCATTAACCTCAACAAACAGTCGTCTGGGTGCGTTTCATTCGCTCACAATCACACATTTACAGTCTTATCTGGAGCGGTTTGTTTGTTCTAACTCAGCCAGAGTACAGGAGGTAACCATAACTAAAAGTACAATCAAAATGTGGCTTCTTGTTGGTTGGTGGTGTTATAGCAGCAACAGAATCAGAGGGAAACACAGAGAGCACCTGAGAATACATAATTGTTATTTGCGTATTCCTAATATGTTTGTCGTGGCTTCCTTCCTTGTTTTTCTTTCCACTAGACGCCTTAAACAGACATTTTTAACTAGTTTTCTTTCCTTTATAGTACTTACAGTTGAAGAGTTGCTTGGCCTTCGAAGGTTTGGATGCGATTTGTTTGCTCAAAATAAAATATCAAACTTTGACACGTGCAACAAAGAAATTAGGCATTTATAACTTAATAACTTAAAGTGTAATTGGACGGTTAAAAACTGTTCCGTCTTTCTAGCAGGTTTCCCCATCACTGTCACTTAAGAGAGGCGCCGTGGGAATTGTAGTCTTTTATAGTGTGTTGACTACAAACGTCACAATTATAAAAAAAATACTGGCTCTAACAATGTTTGTGTCTCTTTTCACCGCCAGTGATCCCCAACACCCTCCAGGTCTCCCCTCTGACTCCGCCCCCAGTGGTCTCTGAAGGAAGTGACCTCACCCTCTCCTGTAACGTCACCCGGACCCTCACCCACCCCACCTACCTGTCCGTCACCTGGTCCGTGAAGAGGGGTGCCACCTCCGAGGACATTTTGGCATTTGGCCCTCAGGGGGACGTCGTCACGGGGGCCAAGTACGCCCGACGATACGCCGACGGAGGCATCCGATTGGTTCCCGGGAAGAACGGAGTGTTTGAGCTGGTGATTTCCAGAGTGACGTCGACTGACGAGGGGATTTACGAGTGCAACGGCACCGAGTGGACGCACGAGGACGGAGGGAACTGGATACAAATCGTGGAGAGCATGAAAGAGATGGGAACTGTGGCTGTGACCCCGACAGGTACGGAAAGCAAATCTGTGATATTAGCAGGATAACACGTGTTCACTCTCTCAGCTCTGTCTCATACAAGCGTTCCCTTTTATGGTGTTGTTTACAAGTGTTTACACTGGAGGGTTAAACATGGAGGACAGAGCAGGCAAAGACACTTAAGAGGGACAGTTAAGTCCTCAAAGTATCTTTTAGCTATGGTAGTGGAAGTATGTTATAGACACACAACAGGGAGACTTAACTCATGTTAGATTGGGTCTGTCACTTGCATGATTAGCAAGCAGCTTTCACATTGATACTACATTAGCATCATTAACACATCTGGATTTAAATTTTCTAAAAATAGTCCAACATGACATGAAAGCAGATCTCCCAAAGTAAGCTCCTCTCCGACAGGTGTTTTGACGTGTCGGTGACGTTCAGCTGTAGTTTATCTTAGCCTTATCTCGGTAGCTAATAACAAATGGCAACAGGTGGTTAATCCAGGCTTCAAAGGCTCTCTTTAACTCCAGGACCCCCTAAGATTTTGAAATTGTTCAAATAAAACCCCATGTGTCTATCAGTTGTGTCAAACGTGGAGTTCATTATGAAGGGTAGAGGGTAGAATACATATGTTATCCCTGGAGTTTGTAGATATCTACCCTAAAGGTTTAATTGTAGATACAATAAGTTAGTATCCTGTGAAGGATGTGAAGGAATTCTGGGAGAAAAGGCAGGATTTAGAGAGAGGAGGGACGTGGGAGAGTTGCCTCTCTTTTATTTGACGGCATCCTCTCCTCTGTGAGACTTCACTTCGCTGCATCCCAGGAGGCTCGTGACCCCTTCACTGTCAGTCTCTCTGTCTTATTCTGTCCTCAGAGAGGCCCCTACACACACACACACACACACACACACACACACTCATTCACATTCATTCACTGTGGTTGCTGTGGTCACCATATCTTATATCTTTCTGGGCTACCTACCATATCCTCTTTAAGTGCTATAAAACACCCAGTGGTTTGTAATGAAACCAGAGAGCAGCAGCACACACACACACACACACACACACACACACACACACACGTACACAGGTCCATTGTGTGCCAGACAGTCCATATTGACTTACTGACTTGAGTAAAGAGGATGAGAAAAGTCAAACAGAGCGAGCTTTATGTCTTTTGTCCTTCTCCAGACACCATACAGAGACACATACCCAGGTTGTTACTGGAGATAAGGTCCAAAGCCCCTGATGCACAGAGAGACACATTTTAATGGATATATTCTGAGTAGAAAGTTCTTAAGCACACTACTGAGAGGATGCACAAGTTTAAATTACATTCCCAAAGATATTGAAGTGACTGTTATTTTGTATATATTGAGTGTTGTGCTTTGTGCATGTGTATAAATGTGTCTGTTGATTGTGTATATATAGGATACATATTTGTAATATATATATTTGTATTCGGGATTGTGGGAAACTAAAGTTGACTTTGACTTGGAAAAAACATTTTCAAAAAAGCCCTATTGTTGAATTTTGTTTTATGTTTCTGTCCTCTCTCAAGGTCAGTCCCTCAGCGTGAAGGCTTCCTCCTCTTCCTCCTCTTCGTCTCTCCTCCTCACCCCCGGCGAGACGCTGACCCTCCTCTGCTCCGTCGCCGCGGACAACCTGCCCTCCGTCTCCCTGGAGGTGAGCTGGCTGGCGGACGGGCGCGACCTCATCACCATGGAGCGCAGCGGCGTAGTGATCTCCAACACCTCGTCCTCTGGAGGAGCGCTGGGGAACCGGGGGGAGGCGAGTCTGGAGAGGACGGGAGGAGGGGAGTACAGACTCGGGGTGAGGGGGGTCAGCGGGGAGGACGGGGGGGCGTACACCTGCCGAATCAGAGCCTTCATCGAGAAAGGAGGGAGGAGCTCTGGAGGAGGCGGGAGGTGGCACATGGCGGCGGAGAAAACATCCAGCGCCGTGACAGTGAAGGTGGCGCAGATCAGTGAGTAGAAGTTATTACACTCTTTGTTTCTCACTGTCAGAGCCACATTCCCATTCAATCCAACTTTATTTATATAGCACATTTAAAAACAACAGAGTTGACCAAAGTGCTGTACATCAATACATATATAAGAAAGCAGCATAAATACATTTAGACAAAACCGATAGGACAAAAAGAAACTAATGTAAAAGCACGAGACGATAAAACCATACTTATAGCCACAGACTGAAAACCCTCATATGTGATGTAAGAACATTTTAAAGGGGACCTATCATGCAAAATGCACTTTTTGATGTCTTTTACATAAATATGTGTCCCAGTGTGTCTGGGAACTCACGCAGCGTCAGAAAATAAAACCCTCTCTCTTTTCCTCCGTACCCAAACGGAGCTGATCCAGATTTGTGTCCGATATGACGTAATATCTGAAATGTGGACCCACGGCGCTATCAGAAACGTTGCTATCAGAAACAATGCCCGACTGTTTTGGACGTAATATGGTCGGTGTTTACATTAGCATCGCTAACACTCAGAGCTAACCTGTACTGGAGAGCATGTGTGTGAAGAAGCAGGAAATAAAAAGGAACTCACCTTGTGGTATAACCGGCAAGAGAGAAAGCCTTTGAGCTCCATACTGTTTCAGAAATAATCCTTGATAATCCATGATATGGCGTTTCATCACGGCAGTATTTAGTTTAGACAGTAGCTGCCGGGTCCCGCATGAGCTCAGACCCCTCCTTTTTTAAAGCTTTATACCCAAAATCAGCACTTTTGAAACAGGAAGTGAAATAGAGGGATATGAGGCATGGCTAGAATGGCTGATCTGTTTGGTGTTTTGAGCAAAACACTTCATAGACATGTTTTTTATATATTTCTATATATCTGAGACCTATGCTGTTGCCTAAAAACAGCATGATAGGTGACCTTTAAAACACAAGTAAATAGAAAACCCCAATTTAGAAAACACAGAGTGATACGTTTTATGCGTGGGGTGCAAAAGCACAGGAGAACAAGTAGGTCTAAGGGGGTGGGCGTGTCTATTGGATTTGGGTGGTGACATTTGAGGTTGTATCCGGTTACCTGCGCACTTTGTCTTAGATGGAGGGGGAGTGAGCTGGGGAACGAAACATTTTGTTGACCGCATACAGTACGCAATCGCATACTCGATATGGACTAGAAAACAATTGTGTTTCGTTTGCAAATAAAAGGTCAAACGCATACCAGTGGAAAGACTGTTTTCTTGCGCGTCAGACAATGTTTTTCTCTTGTTTAGTCACTTTTATTGGATTACTACATCCGCAACACTCACTTTAAAAAGATGATCAGTGTGGCGTAAAGACATGACATACTGGATTTTGTCGAGTTAGATTGACTTGTGCAGAGACAGTGAGCTCTTTGTGAAGTTGTGTACTTATTAAAGCCCTTTTGACCATCCTTTAGTGAAGACAGGTGTGTGTTCAGGGACAGTTGTGATGTCTGACGCAGTGTCGAAGCTCAAGGAGTGTTTCTGATGCAGAACTTCAGACTAATCTGCAGTCTGGAAGGGAAACTCTAATCCTCCAGTCAGCTGTTGACTCCTGCTGCGAGGACGATTGATTAGTCATGCCTGTCCTGCTCTCTGCTACCTCTGGGGATGTGTGTGTGTGTGTGTGTGTGTGTGTGTGTGTGCTGTAAATGTGTGTGTCATGCTCTGCTCCTGCCGGGGTGTCGGACTCAGTCGACACAGCTACAGTCCCTGCAGGGTGGGGGGTCTCTCTCTCTCTCTCTCACGGCCTTTCTAAATTTGACATCATGTCGGCTTGGCTTGCATGGTGATGTGTTGGATATGCAATTAGATAGGGAATTAGTCTCTTTTGCTCCTTCTAAATACATTTATTGTTAGATCAGGACGCTCAGTCACACTGGGGTTGTTCATGGTCTCTTTGAAGACACTCCCATTGTCTTTCTGAGACCTAGAATTGACTCACAACACTTTCTCTCATGGGAAATTGAAATGTGTTCGTATAGCCATATAAAAACAACTATAACACAACATGCATTTATACTAAAACTGCACCAAATTGCAGCTTATCTCACTTTACTGTATATAACACGTCTTTCTGGGAAGTAAAACCATTGCATGTCTCTGTAACGATGGTCAATTGAAAAGGTTTTGCTTGAATTCTGTTTCTACCAAGGCTTATTCTTCAGGTTTCATGTGATGCTGCCACTGTATGTGCTACCTAAAACCATCATATGTTTAAATTTTTTAGTGCATATATAGTGCAAACAGCTCCAGGGCTGCAGAGCTACTCACCTTAATAAGCACACATATTTGAACTGATTGTGAAAACATGCAACCTTCCTGTTGAGTCCAATTGTTAAACTTGAAGGTATTTTGACCAATACGCTATTTATATTGATGTTCTGTGTATTAAAGCAATACAATTAATTATAATTTCATCCAGTGAGCCCTTATTTAATGTAAAAATGTCTTGAACACCAAACCTTGGATACAAGCTTTGACAGAAATGAGCACTTGGTGATGAAGAGATTGAAGGAGCTGTTAATGAATAGGGTTTCTGACATAATGATAATAATGACTAAATAAACACTTATGTAATCGCTTATTACTGCTTTTGAGAATCCCCAGGAAGTTCTCTGGCAGATTGATTGGCTCAAAGTTTAATGTGAGCCTAAGCGCCAGAATAACAAATAATCATTATTGCCCTGCTTTTCTTTTTTGGGGTATAAAAGAGTTTTAATGGGAGTCCAGTTTGCTTTGGAGCGTCCTGGCATTGAGTTAAAAAACACCTCAAAGTCTTTTCTCCCTTTTTTTTTTTAAAGAGTTTGGACTGGACGGCTGCCACAGGAAACACAATCACTATGTGCAGAGATTTTAAATCAAAATCTGCCTCTTTCTCTCCATTATTTGTGTATTAAATGTTCAGAAAATCACATGAGGGAATACTTAATTTGACAAAGTGATCAATATAATCACAGAGTTGTATTTTAATCAGGTTTTAAATCCACTAAATCTCCCTTTTCTCAAAAACATAGACACCCACCACGCCCATTCTGTGGCATTGCAGGACGTGTTGACGGATATTTCATTTAATCGTATATTTGAATCGGGACAATGCACATTAATGAACACTTTAGACAAATAATGCTTCAAGTGTATGCCGGACATGGCAGTACACTATAGCAGCTACGACTTATTAAGTGCAAGAGAAGATACAAGCGCTACCTAAAATGCAAGAGGAGATACCCCTGTGTTAAAGTGCATTTGGCGGTGATTACATGTCTGTTTGTTTCTCAGCCATTCTTTGAGTTGACCTTTGAAACTATTGAGAGTGGGACAGTCCCGTATCTCAGTAGGGAGGCTGTTCCCCAAAGAGCTGCCTTTAATGGAAAGGACATTTAGTCCAAAAGTGGTCCGTCTACGTGGGCCTCACAGTCTCCTCTGGTTTCTGACCTAGTGCAGCGTCCAGTGTGTTTTCTGTGGATGAATTCCCCTAAGGGAGAGGGAGAGGGGGCCAGTCCATGTAAACATTTATAAGTAAAACACATACTTTTAAAAGACTTAAAATAGTCAAAACTTAAGAAATGGTGTTTATCAAGGATGGTGCAGTGGTGGTATGAATGTGGCTTTCTGTCAAACACCTGGATAGCTCTCTGTGGCACAAGCAAACGACCAGTTAGTCCAACAGTATTCAATGTGGGATAGAATCATTCAGTGGAGGGATGTGACATTCCTTCAGTGACTGACAGACTGTTCTATAAAGCTTTGATCACTTCCTCTTTCCTTGTTTTGTGTTTTTGTCGTGACTTCCCTGCCGTGCCAACAACTTCCTCTCCATTCAGTGTATTTAAAAGTTCTTAAACACAGAAATAGCCTTCATTTAACTTCAAGGTTACTTTTTATATGTCTTAACACACACACAGAGAACATATAGACGCAGAAAATGTAATTAAACAATATATACATGTACCCTTTTGACTCACACATGTATATATTTAACTGATTGTCCTATTTTTGTGAATTTTCTATATTTTATGAAAATGTATTTAAAAGATTTCTGAATCTGCACACGCATATAATGTTGTGCTTTTGTTGGCAGTCACATACCTGATGTATACACAGAAAGTGTGTACAGTATGAGCATGTCAGTGTAGTTTTTTTTCAATTATAGTGCAATTATTTGTTATTTTGTGCAAAACCAGCACTTAGGGGAAATCTGTATTCAGTGTAGTTTCAGAAAAACACAGTTTGCATTTTTCTCAGCTTTGTTGTGGTAACATTTCTAAAACAGCCCAATAGTTTTCCCCACCAGCGTGCCGTCATCACACACTTATATTTCCCATATCTTTCTCTCAAAGTTGAATAAAACCTAAAAACAAGTTGCCAGTAAAATGAGAAAACCTTGTGATTACCAGCGATAAAAAAAGTGTCTTGTTAGCACTCATCTTATATAGCTTGCATTGGACTCTTAGTTCTTGTTTTACACACACGCAGTGAAGACGTTTTGCAGAACTGACACCATTTCTTCCCATTTAATTAACCAGCGTACTTTCAGAATGAGGAACGAAAGCCCAATATGCAAAGTCTTTTGATAAATTGCCCTACACGACGGCTACATTGGTGAATAATAGTGGAAAATCACCCAGAACCACATCCAGTATGCTGAGTGTGTGTCTACATACATCCTGTCCTGTATGTCAGCCGCAGCCTTTAGTTAAAACAACAACCGTCCCTCGTAGATACACAGACGTTTCTGGAAGCCTTGAGGATCCATGTTACATTTTGAAATGTCAACCACACACACACACACACACACACACACACACACACACACACACACACACACACACACACACACACACACACACACACACACACACACAAAGTAGTTCGTTTTCGTGAGGGAACGGCTGAAATATCAATGAGCTTGATATAGTAGTTTCTGTTTGTGTGTGTGTGTGTACCTTGATGGTCTTCCTGCTTTTGTGTGTGTGTGTGT